AGTAAAGTTGAACGGAAGTTCCAATAATGTAACCAACGAGCAAAGAGCAGCCAAAAAAAAGAGAAAAAAAATCAGGAGAACGGGTGGATATAGGAATAGTGTGGTGCTAGAGTAATACCACGGGCCATTTTGGTGCAAGTCTTCAAGATGACTGCATACATTTCTCTTCTTTGGGATCAGAAAAAGTTATTAGCCTGAGCCTAGGAGCAGGTGAATAAAACGATTCACGCCCTCCATCGGCAGAAATCCTCGTCCACTGGTTCACAACAATTTTCTCGCACCTTCTGACACTGAGTGCCGTCTAATTAAAAAAATTTAAGATATATTGCTGAAACGAAGCTGACGGCTTAGAAAGGCAGAGTTGGAACCAGGGCACATGATGCGTTGGGAATTTCGAGTCGATACGAATCCCTCCCTTTTCACAATCTCTTGTTTTTCTTCTCTCTAGTTGCGCCGGTTCTACGGTGCACGAGATGTTGCGCTACAACACCCACTGTTGTGTCAAATTGCGGGAGAAAGGTCCAAGTGGCAGCCGGGTACGGCATCTATCCGCGCGTGCGAATTTTGAATCACGGGCATGCGCCCGAAGTTGGGACGCATTTTCCATATACCCTTAAGCGGAAGCAGTCTTTCTTGAAGCAAAACGGTTGGGAAAAAAAAGAATGTAGCTTGGAGAAGTCACATTTATACTTCTCAAAAGGTATCAAAATGCGCACACGTGTTGCTATTTTGGGAATGTGTGCAACGTTGGGGAATCGTGGGAGTTCACAAAAGTGGAAGTTTTCCTGCTTTGAGCAAAGATGCCAGCGAAGAGCAGTTTCGGAAAGAAGAGGACTTCCTCTTCGAAATACCTCTCGAATTGTATAATATAAAATCCGGGGACCGATGGACTCTTTCTTGAGGAACAACGATCTGCTTAGCCAAATTGAATGAGGAATGAAAGGTCTTGCGCAACTGGAAATTCATATAGAATGGAATAAAGTAAAATAGACTAAATGTGTGAGAAGCGAGAACTGCAGTGAAAATGCAATGGAAACCCGTAGAGAAAGTGGGTAGCCTGCAAGTTTGTAGAGCTAACTTCCACAAAAGTGACTCTTGACCACCTCACAGGTTTTCGCTTCCATCTGTAATATTGCTCTCATAATGATGCGTTAAACTTTGATCTTATTGCTATTCAAAGCAACCTTTCTTTAACTTATTTTTGAATCTTCTGCTTGGAAGTGTGGGAGATCAGGATAAGGGACATAGTATTCCATTTTTAAAGAACGTTTTACCTTCGAGTTGCGTAAAAGGGATCTGAGTCATTGATGTGAAAGAGAGAGTCTAGTTCGCGTACTTCAACTCGAGCCTGTGCATCAGTGGGAGTGTAGAGTTCAAGATCATCCTGAAATCAAAATAATTTGTTGACATTTACCGAAGAACTTCACACCTATTCTAGACGATTCCGAAATGCAACGAGATATT